CAAGCATTACATGTCGTCATTATTAAAATAAGCCATACTACATTATACATGCAGAATTGCAGATGACATGCACCTTGCTTCATAATCATTAGTGCAGTTAATTAGTTACAATAACTAATTTTCTTTATGTCTAACATTGTCAATTTGGTCAAATATTATAAAACTGACAGACAATTGCCTGATTCCTGTGAACAGTATCTTAACAATAGAGTGACACAAAAACAAGTATTGTTTGCTCGATGTATACACATACAAGGGGTCGGAAAAAGTGAAGGTGAATCAGTAATTTAGTATTATTGGGGTGATTGCTTACTCAATACAGAACATTATGTCTCAGTGAAGAAGCTGAAGACAAATTGTACATATGCTCTATTAGAGGCTTATCTCCACAACAGGTATGGTTGTGTGTGTGTGTGTGTGTGTGTGTGTGTGTGTGTGCGCTGGCATTCAACTGGGCATTTACGTAAGCTATGATCTTTGAATATATCAAATACACACTACATGTGTATAAATTCCATGTAGTGGAATGTCCACCTAAATACATGAGACCACAGCATTGTTTGCTCTGCACAAATATGTGTATTTATAAGCAAACATTTACCCAGTTTAACCTTCACCTGTACCTCACAATCATTGCCAAAAAAATACTATACATATTACATATATACATATTACATATATTATTACCCGGTAGTTAAGAATAAGTTCTTGTTAGAGAAAAATGACTCGTGTATTAGCTGTGTTAGATGACACCGAGAACAAAAACAGCATTTTTATGCACTTGATCAATATACTGACTTAATTTAGTTATTTATATACATCTGTCATTTTTGTAAGCTATATGCTACCAATGGAGCAAATATGGTATTAGTAGATAGAGGTGTGTCTATGGTTAAAGTAAGTTGTATTTTAATGATTCAGTATACAATGTAATTCTTGGTTGTGTGCATTTCTAATGATCAAATAGTATTGTCCTGGCGTAGTATACAGTATGTATATAGGTTTACTGCAGATTTGATTTGCAGTAGTTTTATCCCACTCAGTCAGCGTTTTCGAACATTCTTTACTTTCACTGGATGGTTTGACTCCCATTAGGGAATACGGTTTGGTGTTTTCCTAGGCTATGCATCAGTACACATTCCATAAACATGCCAAGACGCATACTGTTCTACAGTTCCACAAACGATAGTTCGATTAAGGTAACATCGACTTGAGCTTTAACACAAAGCTGTGTACAGTTAGACGACTGGCTGGAGCCGTAGTGATATTGGCGTTGTCTTTTCCAAGTTGCTTCAGTGCTTTCAAGTCTGGAATCTCATTGTTTTCTTGAACAATAGTTCTAAGAGGTCTTTTGTTGCGCTGTCTTGACTTTGCAGATCAACAAGTTTATATTGGATTCTACCCAAAAATTACTATTGGGTTAGGCATAATACAGTAATTTTTTATCTGATGAATTATTTTATAATTGTGACATGTTGGAACTTTTTTTCATATTGTCTGTGTGCACTTACATGTATTTCTGCTAAATACTGTGTAGAATACTGCAGTTACATGCATGTACATGTACAATATATAAGAAAATCATTTTTTCGGATCAGGATTTTTTTTTATTCTCCATGCATTGAACTATAGGCATTCTAACTTATAGAAAATTATAATTTGAAGTATTGTTATACTTCACTGAATACCTGTTTATAATAAAAGCATTCTTTTCCACAGGCATTTCATTTCCATTATTTAGATTATATTCACAGAGTTTTAAATTTGTAGATTTCCCATTGAAACAATGCGTTCTATTGTTCTC